GCATTAACTTGTGAAGAGGAGAGCAGCAAGTTTCTAGATTTTAATATAACAAGCAAGGAGTTATTTGGATGCTCTACTTACTTGGGAAAATCCAGGGGTGATTTTTTTGAGCAACCTTATGCTGCTGAGCTCGATAATGATTTGGATTTCTGGACTTTGCTGTAGGAAGGTCTTTAGAAGCCTCTTTGTCACAGATGTAGCTGCTGTGGCATCACGGTTATGTTAATAAGAGGCAGAACACTAATGGGTAATACAAGACGTTAAAAAGAACAAGAATGACTTATTTTTAAGTGGACATTTTTGTTACCCGTACAAAAAATAAGATTGTTTTAGGCTGTATCAGCTATATTAAATGTTGAGTCATAAATCCTTATTTTAGGATCAGAGTCAATTTAACAAAATTTCATTCATGAATGGTTATTTAATACCAACACAGAAAGAGTTAAAAAGGAGATCTTAAGTAGAAATGTGCGGGGTAAAGCAGAGGTGGAGATCTTTAGCACAAGCATAAAAAAATCAATTTAAGATAAATTTTACTACTATAAAAATTCTGCAAATGTCCTTTAAAGAGTGGGAAATGCTAAGAAATACAGGTCACATTTTAATTCAGTTGACAGACTAGAAATATAGCAAGAAATGGAACTTGTATCCTCCAGGGATGCTGGACAGCACCTAATTTCATTCACTAACCTAAGCAAGTATAAGTCTTTACACCCCCAAAAAGAGCATTGGTAATATAGGAAAATGCAGAACTCCCTTCTCCCCCACCTCCACCCCAAAAAATGCATTTTAAAGGAATGTTTTTCATTATACTAACAAGGTTGCAAATGTGTGGCTTTTTGTCTTGAGGGAAGCCAATGAAATTCTTTAACAGAAAAGCAAAACAGTATATTTTAGTGAAAAAAAATATGGGCAAATCTGCCACACTTGGACACAAGAATACTGTTCTGAAATGCTTATAAATGTTTATGCATTACCTTCATCAAGCAAATGTACACGTAGATCTTTCCAATTAAACTGAGGGCTATTGCTTATTGAGAAAGCTGTGAAACTCACTGAAATAACTGTTCCTTAGTTTCTTGGCTTTCTTGGATGAATATGCTTATTTTATTTTCATGTGTAAAAATAAAAGTCATGTTTTGTTATGTTGCAGTTCAAGCTTCAAGCTGCCCATAGGTGTAGCATAGAATCTGTGGTTACTTTGGCTGTTATTTTGTTTGCTATTGGCTCCTTGCCTCTGGTGGCTGGATAACTAAGGATTAAGGCCCTTTCTCTATGGATCAGTGAGGGAAAGACCATTAACATAGAGGTTCCCCATTTTTTGTTTGTTCATTGCTGAAGGCTAGTTGCAAAGTGTAAAAATTAGGCATTTGCCTCCTAAATGTGAACTTCAGGGAAGGACAGAAAGAACTTGAATAAAGGAAGCATATATAGATTGTAGTATAATGTGTTCAGAAACTTCCAAAGAAATATGAAACACTGAATAAAAGAAATTTCACCTGAGGGAAAATATTACATAATCTGGATCATTTACTCTAAATTTCTTCTGATAAATGTTTCAATCTTGAGTGTGCGTGGTGCCCTTCTTGTTATATGGATCAGAGAAGTCCATTTTGTGCTGTTGTAGATTTCAAGAGTTTTATTATTTTATTACAATGAAATATACTGAAGAAATGCATAGAGTCTCCAGTCAATAGGACCCTATTGTAGTGAGAGATGTACAAACATAAAATAAGCTAGTGCTGAGCCCAGAGAGCTTGCAGTCTAAGGCTCCAAGGCGGCATGTGAATAAAGTTTATGCACATAAATAGTCCCTCTGAATTGGATTCTTTGACCAATAGTTTTAAACCCCCCAAAATGTAAAAGATGTTTAAACCCTTTACAAAGCACTACAACGGGCAAAACCCTCAAAAGTATAGTCTGGCCATAAAAATACGGAGAAGAGCAACAAGTTTGCATTTAATAGAAAGGCTTCTAGCAAGCTTGGTGTACAGATGAATCTTCTTCAGTTTCTTCTGTTTTTCCTTTTTTTTCTAGCAAGCTTGGTGTACAGATGAATCTTCTGTTTTTCCTTTTTTTTCTTATATGCCAAACAATCAATATTTAACTTGCATTTTTAATACTTTCAACAGATTGTTTAATCATCTGTTGCATACCTTCTCTCTCCCTGGTATTTTAACTTTCCCACCTTTGTTTCTCCATTCTACTATATTACTTTCTTGCTAATCAGCAGTGTGCCCTTCGGTGCTTAACAATTAGTTAGAAAATGACTTGGTGTTGGGGAGAATTGCAAGGCCATTTGATCATGCACAATTCAAACAGATGAGGGTTTCACTTCTGAGAATAATCTCTAAAATAGCTTCTCACTATACATCTTTTATCCTATCCAGAGGCAGAGACAAGAGTAGGTGTCTGATTACATTGATACCCTGTTGTTTTCAGTTTCATATGCATTTGTGGATCAATCATTTGAGATGGTTAGGTCTTGTTGCAAAGGTGCCTTGTGGCAAAAACAGACTTGGAGTCTTTTATATCATTACTGATACATCATACATTTTTTCATTTGCTTAGGTTTCCTATTAAAGAGAAAATATTTTGTTAAGTGTCTAATACTTTGGCATGCTGGGAAATAGTTTAGGATTTCCTCCACAACTCCCATCTGAGTGACTGAAAGGACCCAAGAACTTTGCTTTATTTCCCCCAGCGTTGCTGGGACTTTTCTGTATATTTATTACTCCTAGGAGGATCCTCTACATATGCTTCACCTGCTTTGAACCTAATTCCACCCTCAACACTTTGCCATGTACCTGCCATTCTCCCATCAGAGAATTAGTCTGTTAAGTTTGTAGTATTGTCAAGGGAAATACTGCTGGGCTATGAATGGATCTTATCTGCATATCTGCAGCAGAAAACAAGAAACCAGGACTGGAACGTATATTAAGTGGTCCCTTGTGATAGCAAAAGCACCCTGAGTAGACAGTTTCCAAACAGTCTGTTTTATAATGATCAGAAAATTACTGAATGGTTTATTGGAAAGAATAATAAACACTGGGTGCTGAAAAGTTTTTGGCAGCCTTAAAGAAGGTGTGGTTGCTCATTTTGGCATTGATTCATGATGTCAGCTCTGTATATAACCATTCATAGATTATTAGAATGCTCCCACACACATCCTTTCCCCTCTATATTTTGCTGGTGGGGCATGTTAATTTTATTAGTATATAAAGACAAATTAATTCTCCCAAACTTTGAGACACACCCACAAAGGCTCTACTATCCAGTAGTGTTTGGATGTGCCAGGAAAGCTCTTGTAGAGTCATGGATCAACTTGCTTTGCTCTGCAGGAAGTATGTGGGTCAGGAAGACTCCCCATTTTCAGCAGCCTACTCTGTCCAAATGCTCTGTAGCTGAAATATCAAATATATCAGCTGTGCAATATTTATGTATTTTGTGTTGCTCTTATTCAAGAAATCAAGTGAATTGAATATTGTGCAATATGATGCTGCATATAATGAAAGCAAAACCAGACAATTTACTGTCTTTTCCCCCCACCTCCGCATAAACCCCACATAGTCTTAATAGCAGAAAAAAAAGAAAATCATGAGATAGTGGGGAGAATTAATCCTTAAATGTAGAGGTGCTCCCTGCAATATTGGTGCCATTTGAAAATCTAAGTTGTTACTTAAAACCAAGCTAATTCTCAGTTGCCTCCCTTCACTTTCACAAGTGGAGGAAAGCGGTAACTTGATGATACTAGCTGGAAGAGAAAAGTGCTGTTTGCAAGGATTGCTATTTCTTTTCTTCCGTTCTTTGGGGGAACTGTATGTAGTTATTGAGCTCTGCTAGATGTCAGGGAGCAAGAAAGAGAAAACCTTCTCCATAGTGCAGCTACAACCACTTGGACGGTGTTGAGGCTGTAATTTTACTGCCCTGCATTTTCAGTTCTGGTATCCCTTCCACCATTATCCACACCCCTCCCCACTCTAGCTGTTGTTTTTTTTTTGGTTTTTTTTAATATGGCTGCATCTGTGCATGGCATCTTCCCCATCGTAGGCATTGGATATTCAAACAGGTAAGTTAAAAAAGAAAGTCCTATATTTTTCATAGGTATTATTCTTTATTCATCTTGTATTGTCATTGCATTTCTAAAGATGAGGAATCTCTTCGATTACTGATGTTCTGAATTGTTATACACTTGTCACATTGGTAAAAGAAATTGGAGACAATGAATGGGATTAACTTACTAAATATTTTAATTAAAGATGTATGTTCGTATTATATGTTTGTGTGTATGTATATACATTCCCAATACTTTAACAGATACAAAATACTCATTTTTATAATGAAAGTAGAAAAATACTATACACTGTATAGTACACATGTCAGTTTACTGATCTTTCCTGCTGTGAAATGGGACTGTAGGTTTGTTCTTAAGTTGAATTTGTATGTAAGTCGGAACTGGTACATATTGTAGGGGAAACTCTAGCCAAACATTTCTCCAGAGCTCAGTTTTATTCTCCCACACCTCACTTCCCTCAGTCCTTTATTTTCAAGCTGAGGTGTCTGCTGAGAAATGCCGCTCTGTGTCTCCCCGGTCTGCTGGGGGGAGCGCTAGCTTCGCGTCTCCCTGGTCTGCTGAGGGGAAGCAGCTAGTGCGGAGTTGCCTCACCCTGTTTGTAAGTAGGGATCCGATGTAAGTCGGATCCATGTAACCCGGGGACTGCCTGTATACATATATACCAGTAAGTATCACTCAAGCTCTTTGCTGCAGCTAGGCATGAAGCTGTTGCTTTATTGCAGTTCCTTTTCTAATTTGATATTCATTTTTTCCTTATGGAACAGCATTCTGTATTAATGTTTATGAGGGGGAAAATAAGTCCATGTAACATTAACATTTTTCTTCCGTTTAATGTAGTAAGTATTTTCTCTGTGTCTTTAGCATGCTAAAATGTGCAGCCATTTGTCTATTAAACTTATTAAAACTAATGTTATCACTTTTCCAGCACTGAGGCAGCCTCGGTTACTTATGAGGAATGTGACGGTCCAGAGGAAATGACAGAACCACTAAAACAATGCACAGCCTGGCTTCAGGCCTACTTCTGTGAGCCCTGGATGACCAAGAAACTTCCTATGCCTCCTTTTCACCATCCAGTTTTTGAGCAAGGTCTGTAACTAAGTAATGCTATAGGATTTCATTTATAGTGTTTTGTCTTGATTAACTATCACTTATGTTCTGTTCTCAGTTTCACTGCATCAATATAGGGCATTTTACATTGCACTAAATAGAGATTGCATGTAGCATAGTTTTACTGTAGCTACCAGGGTTCATAGTCTCCAAGTGTTCCAAAGGGTTGTGTTAGTTTTGGCACAGGTTTCCATAATTCTTGGCAAAAACAGTAAAAATGATTAATTTCAACTCTTGACGTTTGCTGGCTGAAAGGTTTAAATATGAGCACATCTGAATGGCAGTAAATTTTTCAATAAGCCTATTGTTAACTTAAACTATCTTTTAGCCAACAACATAGGGAACGAGGCTTATAAATGGACAATTAGCCAGTTCTATAAACACAGTTGGTGATAGTTACGTTACACTAGGTAGCTATGTTGTATCTATTTTATTAGTTTTAAAACAAATTCTTAAAATTATTACAGATATTTTAATTTTTAAATAGATGCAAAGAGCAAGTTTTGTTACCAAGCAGCAATAATATACATAGATTTGAATAAAAACATTGCTTAAGAAATTTTCCCCTTACCACTTTCCATTTATTGCTTCTTTTTTTCTCTAAGACTTCTTAACATAAAAGTCAATTACATGGAAGTGAAATAGTCTTCAGTAAAAATCACAGTAGTTTGCTTTCTGCAGTGGCCTCTTTCCTGTCTCTTCCATGAAGGTAATCTTTTGACTGTGAATAGTAGATACATTTTAAGGAAATTGTGTTTTTAATTAAATATATTTAAAGTGCTCTCTGAGAAACTAGGTTTGGTAACAACATATTTATTACCCAAAAAAGAGAACTAGTGGCTTTCCTATTATGCATTGTAACACAGCATTGATGTTTCCATCATAAATTTATCTTCAATAACACAGCCATAAAGTTTCCCCCTCAGCTGAAAATTAGAGACAAATTATGGTTCTCCAATGCAGGTATACTGGAAAATATGGAGTCTTTTCCCCTCCATTCCATGTCTCTGCACAGTATGTAGTCAAATACATCAAGCACCATGCTGTGAGGATAGAAGTATCCTTTCAAATGCCAGTAGTGCTAAATGGCCCATGGAGTTTGTCTGGTCAGGATGGTAACGTATGTCCTACTAGGATGTGCTAGAAAGCAGTTCTGAAGGAAGCACAGTATGTCCCTCCAACATGTAACCACTTCTGTTATGCTGTTCTGCATTTAGGAGCCTTAATTTGGACTATAGAGTATAGACTAGGAGTCTCTAAAATACAGCTTGCAGGCCTCATCTGGCCAACCAACACATTTTGATCAGCCCTCTGTGTCCAATGGCACTATACTTATGTGCAGCCCATCAGGGTAATCTGGTGGGCCTTGAGAGTTTGTTTACAATGAGCATCTGCTATTTGCCCTTCTCAGCCAATAAGAGTTGTGGGAAGTGACACAGGTCACAGGGATGTGCTGGCCTCCACTTCCTGCAACTCCCATTGGCCAGTGAAGCACAAACACTCGGAGCTGCCTGCAGATGGTGAAGGACACAGATCTGGTGAGATGGGGTAGTCTCAAAAGTTTTGGACTTGGTGTGTTCCAGAGAGACTCAGAAATGGGGCTTGTGCAAGCCATTTGTACTGAGTTTTACAGAATTCCAATTTGAAAACACACAGGCATATTTAATATAACTTTTAACCACTGAGCCACTTGCTTTTCAGGATAGATTTGTCTTGGTGAAAACACAGTTTCCACTGTCCTGTAGAATTGCAGTGGTAGAACATGAGGTTCCCACATGGAACTTAAAACAAGCCAATACGCACATCAACAGAAAAGCACAGTCCAGTACTTGATGCAGCAAAGACCAGCTAAACCTATAAGAGGGATTCTTTTGGCCCCATTCTGCATTCTACCTCATCTTCCCTCTCCATTGCCCTTCTCCCTACTTCCCTACTGCACCACCACCTCTTCCTCCCATCTTGCTTACCTTACAATGCACATTGCTAAGATAAAAAGATTACCTCCACTTACGGTTGCCAGGTGTCCAGTATTGACCTGGACAGTCCAGTATTTTTGCCTCCTGTCCGGTAAAAAAACATTCAGAAAATACCGGACACCTAAAATGTCCGGTATTTTCTGATCTTTTTTCCCAACCAGCAGGCGAAAATCCCAGGTGCTTACCTGGTTCCATAGGGGAGCTGTCTGGCTCAGAGTGAGAAAACAAGATGGCAGATGGCCCCTGGAAGCCTCTTAGGGCCAAAAAGCATTTCTTAAAGGGGCCATGCTGGGTTTTTTTATTATTTACTTGTTTATTTATTTATTTATTTATTTATTTATTTTTGCTTAATAACTCTCGGGGACCTTTTTTTTTTCCTGCTCAACATCTTTGGTCTCCCCCTTTGTTCTTCTCAACAGAATTTTTCCCCTGGTATTTTTTTGGGGGGGATGGGTAGGGGGTGTTCAGTATTTTTTGTTAGACCATCTGGCAACCCTACCCCCACTTACCAACTTTTTCTCACCTTCTGCTGTCTTGCCTATGTTAACTGCGAGCTATTCAGGGTAGGAATAGTTTCTTGCACCTTTAGAGTTAAATACAAAATGTATATATTATTTTCTATAATTGACCTGCTCTGGCCCACCATAAGAGCAAGACTGAGTGATGTGATCCTGACTGCTGAAAGTTTGAGGATCCTCATTGTAGGGTCTAATTTTCAAACATGCAGTAATTGCATATGTTGCCTATGTTGTACCTATAAAACAAACATGAAAGCCCATGTAAAACAGACATTGCCATGCACAAAATAGATAATTTAACATGCAGTTAGTTCTATGTGCACAATTGAATACAAATGATGTTTTGTGGTCACAATTTAGGCTTCTGTGATTGCAAATTTCACCTATTCATGATTGCTTGCATTTTTATTAAAAAATCATTTGGTATTTATCAGTTTCCTTTTTGTATACAATACTTTATTATTTTACTGACTAAATGCAGTTTTGACTTTAAAAATGAAAATTGGCAAGAAGTTTTTCTATGGTGTCATTTTTTTTAAAGAGGGAAATAATTTAATCACTGTGTACAGTGACTCTTTATTGAATTGATCAATGCATATGATAGCAGTTATTGAAATGCAACAACTGTTATTCTTTTGTTATAGGGAAAATATTAAGTAAATAACATTTTACACTTTTTTTCTCATCACTTTTTTGCATAATTATAAAGGCTTAAATGGAGATCACATTAGTAATACACATTTTATACTTGCTAAATAAGCTTTTTATTAAGAGATATTTGAATTTGTGTGGTTAATGAACTGGAGATGTATCAGTTCTTGTTTATATCATTCACATTTTAAAATGAAAAGTTGGGTTTATATGATAGATTGCTACAAAATGTCAAAACTTTAAATTCAGTGTTGCCCTGTTAAAATGTAGCTGTTAAGCCCTTGGAATGATTGTCTGTAAAAGTGCCATAGATTTTTCCATCAGTTGGAATGAAGTTAAGCACTTTGACATGTTTCATTGTTGTCTAAAAGTCTTTTAATATAGATCAGGGTTGAGGCATGCTGGTGAAACAGGGAAAGCATGCATTGCTACTGCTCTTCCTGATGTGAACGTTTAACCGGTTTACTGATTAAGGTTAACTGGTGGGGCTGGAGCAGCTCCCTGCCTGTCGTGGGTAGGGGGCTACTTCAGCCCTATAGGGGTCCCGCGGTGGACAGGGGTTGCTTAGTGTGGCCCAGTGTTTCTTAAACTTTTTAAGACCATGGAACACCAAACGATAATTTTTTTTATGAGGAACACCAAAGATTTTTTGTTGAACCAAAAAAAAAGGCTGGGGAAAAGTTATTGAGCAGGAAAAAAATAGGTCGCCTGCCCCTTTAAGGGCAGCCATTTTGAACTCTTGTTCTCCATGGCACACCACTGACTGCCTTGCGGCACACCGGTGTACTACGTAACACAGTTTAAGAAACGCTGGTGTAGCCCCTGCCTGTGTCGGGCCCAAGTGTCCCCCTTTAATTGGTTAGCCAAGTAAACAATACGTTTCACCTGTTTGCCAATTAAATGGGATTTTACATCCCTATCCCATACCTGCTCTTTGAATAAATAAAATATTTCAGTCTCCAAGACTGTCAACCAGCAGTTTAAGCACTTCTTGTACCTCAAAATTCTGCTAGTCATGGTTTACTTCCACAAAAAGCTCAGGATTGAAACTTTGAGCTTGGTTAATGAAATATAATAGTTCAAAATTAATAATTACAGATTTTCTTTTAGTTACTGTTTTCAGGAACCAGGTCCTGCAGAAATTTGCCTTCATGTGTGATGATCCATGGTAACTTTATAAGCCTCCTGGGCTCTTCACCTATAGAGGCTGCTCCTTATTCTGAGAGGAGTCGCTGCAGCAGCTACAGAATGTGTAATGAGGCATTCTGAACCACTCCCTTCACGCGAGCGCCAGCTCTGATTTTGCTAGTCTAATTGCTCTATGGCAATTATGTCATTGTCAGTATTATTGTGAGAGTTCAGAGATCAGCCAAGAAGAGAAAAGAAAGATCCATTGAGCTAAAATACTTCTGTGAGCAGGAAGGGAGAATAAGCTTCCTCCTCCTTACTGATTTATATCTCTTTCCACTCTTTAGAAGCAGCCAAGAGGGAGAGTAAATCCAGTAAAAAGCCAAATTAATTTCTGTTTGTTATGCAACCTTGAGTAGGAGGTTTGCAAGCCCTGAGAATTTAGTACAGGCAAGGCCCTGATATACAGGAGTTCTGCTACTCCCAGGTTGGGTCTGCAATTCTTAGCTATGCAACAGGTGTGACTTTTTGAATGTTAGGGCTTCTGCAGCAAGCCTACCTTTGGTTGGCCTCCCACTGAGCCTGGGGTGTAATGTTTAGTAACCTTTTATGCTACAAGTTTGTTTTTTTGGAACCCTAAAATAGGTTTTCCTCATTTTAACATGTGCAGTTCCATGTTTTTTAAATATAGTTCAATTACTTGGTC